CTCTCTAAAATCAATAAAAACATATTAAAAAAATAAATAAAGGGAGAAAAACCTAACCATGGGATAAAGGTCTGTTTGTGTAAGTGAAGTGCATTTTTATCACTCCAGAGAGTCCAAGGAAACACCAGCACGGAACACAGCACTCCAAACATAGTTGACAGTCAGTAAATGTTTGTTGAGTAAATAAATGACCTAATATAAACTTTTCATTTTTTAACTGATTGTTTGGGTTTTTATGTAAACTTAGCATATCCTAGAACAGTGATGGCGAACCTATGACACGTGTGTCAGAGGTGACACGTGAACTCATTTTTTTGGTTGATTTTTCTTTGTTAAATGGCATTTAAATATATAAAATAAATATCAAAAATATAAATCTTTGTTTTACTATGGTTGCAAATATCAAAAAATTTCTATATGTGACACGGCACCAGAGTTAAGTTAGGGTTTTTCAAAATGCTGACACACCGAGCTCAAAAGGTTCGCCATCACTGTCCTAGAATCTTGTATACCAAAATTTGTATAATGACTATTTATTCGAAATAATAATATTAACCCTTTGCGGTCCAATTTTATTTTTGGAATTCAAACAGTCTGGTCCAAATTAATTGACGGGATTGAATGTTGAACCGGTTTGCGGTGTCGACCTCAGCCTCGACGTTGGACCTGTTACTAGCGCCTGGTCTGTCGAGTCAGCCTCGACATTGGACCGAAAAGGGTTAATAGTTGTTGTTTTTTTTTGTAGGATATGAAAACAGGATGCTGGGTTTTAAATCAAAGTCTCAAAATGGAAAGCTATAATTCTTCAGACATAGTATATAATACTAAAGGCCCGTTGCATAAAGAGATTCGTGCAATAGGCCTTCCCTTCCCCTGGTTGCCGGCACCAGTTTACCTCCGGCACCTGGGACCCAGGCCTTTGCTCCAGCCAGTCGCTGCTCCATCCGGAGCTTTCAGTCTTTGCTCTGCCGCTATGTATGCAAATTAACCGCCATCTTTGTTGGGTTAATTTGCATACTCTTCTGATTGGCTGGTGAGCGTAGCAAAGGGATGGTCAATTTACATGTTTGTCTATTATTAGGTAAGATGTCACAGTCTAGATCAGTGGTTCTCAACCTTCTGGCCCTTTAAATACAGTTCCTCATGTTGTGACCCAACCATAAAATTATTTTCGTTGGTACTTCATAACTGTAATGTTGCTACTGTTATGAATCATAATGTAAATATCTAATATGCAGGATGGTCTTAGACGACCCCTGTGAAAGGGTCGTTTGACTGCCAAAGGGGTCGCGACCCACAGGTTGAGAACTGCTGGTCTAGATAGTCTTAAATCTGGACTGTAAATTCTTAGTCTTGATTAATGAACAAACTTATTTTTTACTATTACAGGGTGGAAGGTGAAGGACAATATACTGATATCCAAGGACTAGAATGGTGTGGTACCTTTCATTTCACAGCTGCTCCAGGCCTGAGACTAAAGCTTCACATGTAGATTTTCTGCATTAAAGTTTAATGTAGTAATTGAAGATTTAGTTGTAAGGAAACCAAATCTGTCATATGAAATAACTTCATACACTACCTTTATATTATAATATTGCCATTAAAATCATCATTCACTTATGCCTTTTTTATTAACTTTACTTTCATTATCTTATAATTAGTTCAAATTATGTGATTCAGTTCAGAGTGTTCTCATTTTAATAAACACTGCAAAACCAAATCTTGGCAAAGTCAATGTCCAATCCTGTGCCTGAATTTTGTCATCTTTAAAAAGTATGTCTGTATTAAAGGAAATTATCTAGAAAATGAAAAGACAATTCACTGAATGGTAGAAAATATTTGGAAATCACATATCTGGTAAAGGTTTGGTTTCCAGAATATTAAAGAGCTCACTCATATAAATAGCCTATATAATAAAAACATAGTATGCAAATTGTCCCCTCGACTGGATTTCTTCCAGGAGTTTGACCTGGGGGTGGGCCAGCCGGGGGAAGGGAGGGACTACCCGGCCGGCAGCCGGCAGCCGCTAGGGACACTGCCAGTGCATGAATTTCATGCACTGGGCCTCTAGTCTACACTAATAAAAGAGAAACATGGTAATTGGCGTACGACCGCTACCCTTTTCATTCGCTAATCAGCATATCCTTATGCAAATTAACTGTCAGCCAAGATGGCGGCCGGCAGCCAGGCAGCTGGAAGCGAACATGAGGCTTGCTTCCTTCATTGAAGGAGGAAGCCAACATTCTCCGCCTGCGCTGCCAGCCTCTGAGCTGGCAGTTTGAAACTTTGTAACACTTTCAGCCTGCCGGGATCTCAGAGCTGAAGTTATACATTGTTTCGATTATAGAACCAGCAGCAGAAGCCAGAGCTAGAGCCAGAGCTAAAGCTGGCCCAGAATAAAAAAAAAAAAAAGAAAAAAAAGGAGCAGTTGGGAGCTTCAGTCACCCGCAGAGCCTGAAAACAGCCCTCAGCCCCTCACCCAGACTGGCCAGGCACCTCAGTGGGGACCCCCACCCTGATCCAGGACACCCTTCAGGGCAAACCAGC